AGCTGTCTTGGGGTTATGTTTGCCCGTATATCGTCTTCTCCAGTCGGCGGTAATTGTGTGCCTAATTTCGGCCTTCACCGTGTTGGAGAGGTGCTTGAAGGACAAATGAGAGTCTCGAAAGACTTGTTCATTACGGTTAGTCCGCAGGACTCCGAAGATGATCCCTCTGGTCACCTGTGCAATATATCCCCAACCAGCAACTGCAGACAAGCGTATTGGTAGGATGCTTTTTATAACCCAGTTTTCATCCCACCGAAAAACGTCCTTAGAAATTCGCTTCCAGTGTTTTTCCCACCATTTCCAAAGTGAAAAGGGGCAGGTGTACCGCAAATGATTAGTAGTCTCGCATGCCCATTGCACCTGAGGCAAAAGGTGTTCTAAATTTGGTAAAGAAAGTTTCGATGGGACCATGAAGCAAAATTTTGTTGAGTTTGTTTTTCAACTTTTTCTACATAACATAATGTTTTCTTTCGGATTTTTTTTTTTTTTTTTTTTTTTTTTTCCTGGGGCAATCCTTGGTCCTTGCACGGGCTGGACACCCGGGACCCAGACGGCCCGGCTGTTAGCCTAGGTTTAAACCCGATAGCGCAAGTACTGGTGGTTTAAACATGGTTTAAACCCGGTAGAGCATTGGGGCCCAGCTATTTTTTCAGAGTTGCGGTCAGGAGCGCTGTGTCCTTTGGGGGTCGGGCAAGGGCAACGGGGAGGAAGCCTGTGAGCCCAAGGAAAAGCGGCAAATGGTCTTGCAGGCTGTCTTCTTGGTTTATGCCGTGCATATTTCCACATGCCACTGATTCCGAAGGTTACGACGTGAAAGAAAACACAGGAAAATGAACGATTGAGGGCATTCGAGGAAATCCCCCGAAAGGAAAACGGGCTGCATCAGCACAATATACCTGGGAAATATACTGGCGGTTTAAACCGCCAGTACACTGCTACACGGAATCTGACTTGGAGAAAAAGCGGTGTGTCGCCTACAAAAAACTCAGAGCGTCGGGGCTACTGGACCACGAATGCTGGCAGCGCCAACCAAAAAAGAATGAAGTGTAGCGCTGGCGATTTGCCAAAGCCAGTGGTTCTCTCTCTAAGATTAATAGCCTTGACATACTGTGCGTGGTCAACCGCCCACCCCTTGTTTCCCTGCTACGTGCCACGTGGCACTCTGCTCTCTCTCTCTCTCTCTCTCTCTCTCTCTCTCTCTCTCTCTCTCTGTGTGTGTGTCTGTCTGTCTGTCTGTCTGTCTGACCACTGATGCCGATTGCCCGAAGAAGAAGAAGAAGAAGAAAATGAGACAGCAAAGAACAAAAAGAAGAACAAGATGAAGAAGCAATGAACAAAAAGAAGAAGAAAATGCAGAAGAAGTAAATGAAGGGGAAAAAAAATAGAGCAAGGGAGAAGAAGAAGAAAAAAAAGAAGAAAAAAAAGAAGAAAAAACAGCAAAGAAGAAGAAGAAGAAGAAGAAGAAGAAGAAGAAGAAGACAAAAAAAAGAAACAGCAAAGAACAAAAAGAAGAACAAAGAAGAACAAAAAAAAGAAGAAGATGAAGAAGCAAAGAAGAAGAAGAAGAAGAAGAAGAAGGGAAAAAACGGCGAAGTAGTAGTAGTAGTAGAAGAAGAAGAAGGGAAAAAACAGGGAAGAAGAAGAAGAAGAAGAAGAAGAAGAAGAAAAAACCTGTTTTTCTTTTTAGGAGGATTCTAACTCCATATCACTCGTGAAAAAAAAAATCCTGCTTTTTTAAAATTTTAATTTATTATTTTTTTAACCGATTCTCGTCTTTCATTTTTAAAAAATCGTAAATGAAGTCAGATTCAGAAAAAAAGAGGGTTGCAGGGTGTTGCAAACCCCACAATCCCAAAGACCCGCGGGCTAGGCTGCGGGTGTCACGTAGGCTACCGGGACCTACCTACTGCTACTTGAGTGTGCCCTAAGCTACCTCTTCGGCCACTTTCGAGTATTTTTCCCCGTCACAGTCACGGCCACAGGTAAGTACCGGCATGAGGGCCTCCCAAACACACAAGTACCCTTGGCGGGTCACACACACACTCAGTCAGACGTACACTCAAACATACGGACCAGCAAGCACACACACACATGGACTCAACAACTCAGCAAAAAACGGGAATCTCAGCAAAGCACTCATTCCAGCGGCAAAACTCAGAAATAAGCAGTGTTCTCAGTCTTTGTTTTTGCAGGCCCTTACACTACCCCCCCTTTGGACGGATTAACTCATTTTGAGTTCTTGCAAAATGCATCATAAGCAAAAGCCGCAAAGAGAGCTGCTGTATTCTCCGTGGGAGTGAGTTTCGTAAACAATGCGGGCTAAGCATTGGAAACTATCGTTCGTTTATATGCTTTGACAACTTGAGGGGTGTTTTTCAGTAGTACCTTCTTGAGTTTCGTATGAAATGCGGGCTCAGCATTGAAACTATCTTTCATTTATATGCTTTGACAACTCGAGGGGCGTTTTTCAGTAATACCTTCTTTGAGATCCAATATAGCTCATCTAGCCGGTGATACACAAAGTGAACTTGGTATTGTCTTTTATGTCCATTCCGCTTGTGATCTACAATTCTATCAATCTCGTGACCACCATTGATAGCACGAGTGATCATAGACTCTCGATAATTAAAAGAAACCTGAGCAAGATACTGAAACAATTTTAACGCGTGAAAGACTGGGCATATGCGCAAATGAGGAGGCACGTCAATGACATAGGAAGGACCAAATGAATCATTTCCCACCACCTTCAGAACCTTCCAAGGACGATAGTAGAGAGGAAGAAGTTTATGTGACCCTCCCTCTTCTTCTGAAAACTCAGACATCTTGACCAAGACATAACTTCCTACTGTGAAAGTTGCAGGTCTGCGTTTTTTATTGCCAAATTTAATAATGGCATGTTGTCGTTTGGTCATTGTTGCGATAGTAACTTTGAGCAAGCGATTGTGCTTGACACTGTAGCCAGGTATGCCAGGTTTCAGACCACGATTCTGATAAGGGAACAAGAAGGATATAGGGGATGGTGAATCTGCCAACTGTCATGCAAGCGATTCGGTGTCCTTCCCATGACGGAGTGAATAGAGTTGTTGTACAACCTCTCCAATCTGTACAATTCTTCATCCCACGCGTTCTAATCGGGCACAATTATAGCCCGAAGAAATTGGGTAACAGTCTTGTTGATCTCCTCAACCAAACTATTGGCTTTGGGATGTCAACCGGCAACAACAACTGCATTTGCCTCAGCCTACACAACAGCTGCCACAATAACAGAAAACTATTCAAGAAAGTTAGTCTCCTTGTCCACGCTGGTTTCACAAGTAGGTAAAATACATTAGTTAAGACATATCATAGAAAAGGGTCAAGCCAACAGGTCGCACATTTCGAAAGGTAGCTTGGTTATTCTAGTCAGGAAGAGAAGCGGGAAGTAAGAAATAGGGTTGTCCCCGATGAGACACATCAATATGGCGGGGTGACCTTGAAAGGAGGGACCACATATGTGGAATACCAGAGTGTCAATGACCGGACCTTTAAGAGAGATCTACATGACTTTCTCTAGTAGTACTACGATCCTGGACCTCAGGTGACCCTCACAGAAGTAGGAGATCAGACGCAAATAACAAAACGAGATACCTTTTTGCGGTTTGAGGACAAGAAAGAGGCTAGCCTCAAATGGTTTTGTCGCACTGTCCTACTAGATTTGCAGTATCTCAAACTTAAGGCAAACCCAGTCCGGTCAGTGGCAGTTGTGTTATCCTTTTTGTGCTCGATATTACAGGTGATTGGGTGCGACTTTAGAAGAGGGTTGGGGAATAGAGAGGAAGTAGGTCAATTTAGTGTGTCCATATACATCGCAATGGAGGCATTGCAGACATATTATGGGAACCCCCCCTCTTGGCACCGTGGCACCAGAATGACGGACTTGGATTGCGATCCCTCAATGTAAATGGGCTCACTTCAACATATGGGGGAAAAAGAAAAGCAGTGATAAAACAACTTGAGGGGGTGGTGCCCGCACGTGGCCAGATCTTATCTGCATACAAGAAACACACCTTACCAATTCCCCCATCCACAGTATAGCGCACAATTTGGCATGACCTGTTTTTAAAATATCCTCACTAGCACCACATAGTGTTTCAAGAGGGGTGGATATTTGGGTACCACCAAAAATCATCCAATGGACGACAGATAAGAAGCAAGGTGGATGAATCTCTGCCTTGGTTATGGTAGAACTAGAGGTAGTATGTGTTATTAACATATATGAGCCTAATGACGTAAAAGTTTATTTTTTTCAAGAAATCAGAGTCCGAATCCCAAATGTATTCCCTGTCACTATGGAAGGGGATTTCAATGTGATCCCTGACATATGGATGGGCCGTTGGAAGATACCTTCCCCTTGTCCAACCTATATAAAAGAAGATGAAAAAATCATCCATAGACTTTGCGAAGGTGAGCAACAATTTGACCCATATTAACGAATATTCCCCAAGAAAGATTGTTCATAATACTCCATATGCATTCGTAATAATAGTACCCCACTATAACCTATATCCCGAATATATTTAATAATGTCCCAAGACTTAGATCGAGCTATGCTATGGGACACTCTCTTTCCCCAGAGTCCGTGACCAGGGGCAAATCACAAGATGTGCGTGACCTTAAAAAAAACAAACAGATAAGCTTGATAAGGGGATTTTTTTTTGAAAACTAAATACCTCTTTGCTTTATGAAAAATGGTTCAGACAGTATACAGAGGATGTATGTGATTATTGGCACACTACTAAAGATAAACATGATTCCAACATGGCATGGTTCAATAATGGTTTGACTTTCATAGCCAAAAAATGTAATGAAGCAACAAATCGTTATATTCAGGAACTAAATATTCAAGAACAAATCTTAAATTACGGACTTGATGATCAACCACCAGATCAGTTTAACCCGGTCGATATGCAAGGTCTCAAGAACCAAGTTTTATCCTTTTCGCATTATCGTTGACAAAGACATCTAATCAGAGACAAATTATTGAAATTCTTGACTGAGGGACAAATGAACGTGTACTTTTTTGCATTAGCTCGTGCTAGATCTCAACGTACGACCATTGAGGGTTTGCAGGACCCTGCTGGAGCCTTGGGTGCGTATTCAAATAAGGGAGAACACCTTGCCATCATGAAAACACCTGCTGTTACCATAGTAGCTGCATGAATCAGAGCTGATACTGGGGTAGGGCCCTCCATAGCGTCCGGTAACCAAGTATGGAGTCCTATTTGTGCGGATTTTCCTACAGCTCCAATAAAGAGTAAAACACAAATAGCATAACCTCAACATTTTTTTTACCTCTTTAGGTAGCTTTAACGTTGCTTATGACTTTTACAAAAGACTTTTCACTTTACTCAAAAGTCTTGGGAATGAACATGAAGATGATATCGCAATAAAAAAGTTTCTTGCTCCCTTGTCCCAAAGACTTGCTCTAGAGAAAAGGGAACACCTGAAACACCCATTGGCTCAGGAAGAAATATGGACGTCTTTTATTATAGATGAAGGAAGATAAAACCCTTGACATTTATGGGCTTCCTAAATAATTTTGGGAAATCATGCGGTCGATCTTTTCATCAGACGTGATAAAATTCTTTGATGCAATCTACGAATCAGGACAAGTGGGGGAGTTAGTCGGGCAGGGTATGCGAACTTTCTTATATAAGAAGGGGGATAAAATCAACATTAGGATTTACATAGCAATAACCTTACTTTCAATGGTTTACAAATTGTTGGCCAAAACCTTGGCCAATCGTATGATTCCCGTGATGGCATACATCATTTACCTTTTGCAAACCGACTTTATCAAGGGTAGGCACATTCAGGATAATATCCTTATAATTAATAATGAGATGGTTAAACTTTCCCGCCAATCTAAGCAAAATGCAACTTTATTTTCATTGATTTTGAAAAAGTCTACGATCATGTGCATTGACAAGTTGTAGATGTTTGTCTTGCAAAGATGAATTTTGAACCTAACCTACACAAATGGGTGAAGATCCCTCACGCCAATGCCACAACAAGAGTTCAGATTAATGTACTTCTCTCACCTGGAATTAGACTGCAAAGGTCGGTGAGACAAAGAGATCCCCAAATGCTCTTTTGTTTCGTGATCATAATGGAAGCCCTAGGGGCTAATCTCATAACTAATCGTAATCTCAAGCGGTCGAGGATATCAGGTATTCCGGTTAACTCAATGGTTACTGATGATCTCAGGATCATGTTGGAAGCATCAGTGGCCAACATGGAGGAGATCCAAAATTTAATGGACAAATTTACCCGAGTTTCTAATATGGTGGTCAATTGGGGCAATAAGACCTAAGGATGGTTGATCCATTGGAATGGTGATCGACCCCCAAAGCATCCTAGAATAGGCTGGTTGTCATTAAACACCTCAATGCGTATTTTAGGAGTTTCACTAACATCCTTCGGGAAAACCTAACTTCCACAATAAATGAATTTCCAAACCAACGGTAGAAAATATGAGCCAATGGAAGAGTCAACGCACCTCCCTTCTTGGGTGAACCCTTGTTATTAACAGTGTTATCGTAGCTTCTATTTGGTACAAATCTGCACTTTGGGCTATGAGTAAAGCAAGAACAAAAACTCTTCAACGACAAGTTACAACCTTTTTTTGGATAGGGAACTCTTAACAAGATAATGTAATCCCTAGAGTGGCTTGGCGTACCCTCATTCAAGGCCAACCACTTTTTGCCCATTTGGCCAAAACCCCACCACCCAATCTGCCTCCTTAATCTTCACCCCTTTTCGCAGCATCCTCCACCAGTCCAAGGGTATAGAAAAATTGAGCTGGTCTAAGCGTAAATCAAGATGGTGAGCATACCTAAGGGTATGGTTTAACCGATCAGTTGTCTTCCAATTTTCCCGTACTTGGATCCCATAAGTCCTTAATTCTCATGATTCTCCTTTTGCACAAGCAAAAATGGTTGAAAAGTCTACTTTGGCCCAATGGGACTAAGGCTAGGCGGAGTTGTTGGAGATGCATCCTTGTGAGTCAGTTACTTATCGATTACCAAAGAGTGGCTGGCAAAATACCTCCTCATATTGAGCAGGGAAAGGTTGTTTGGGTAATGGTAGTTGCCACCATGTTTTTTCACTAAAAATACCCACAGATTGTCAATAATAAGATCACTAATGGTGCTTCCCAGTTCCCCTTCATCCGTGGGTTGGACCTGTGCTCTGGGGATGGACCAAAAACGGTCTTCTAAACATGCGAGAGGATGTATGTCCTCATCTTATAAAGGGGTGAGCCTTTGAGTCTGTTCCAAGGCCAAAACCTGCCATGGTTTGTCGGTAGATAGAATTAATTTATTTATCCATTGCAGGGATAGAGCTTGATACTGGAGAGTTGGACGGACAAAAGCTCATCAATGACAAATCGACAATCGAAGTGAGACCGGAGGTTCTCACAGCTTACCTGCCCAGCTCCGGTTAGCAACACTCCTCAGCCCGGCAGACCTGGTAAATATTCCATTCCTGGGCTGAAGTTCGGCGATAAACCCATTTCCAACGGACATGATTGTTGGCTTTGGTGTTAAACATTTGTAGATGCAGATCTATCGTCATGAATGAGTTTATGTATGTGCACAACTCTTAAGTCTAATCAGATGATACAATCTCGACAAAACAGCTCTGGAAAAATGGCTTTGTAAAAGTGTTTGAACTTCGACATATTTTAGGAAAAGAAAAGGGAAAAAAACACACGGAGCTGCAGTAAGGCCCGGAGTGGCTGACGGCGGCTAACTCCTCGCCACGGCAGTGCATATTTCTTAGGGCTGGGCAAAGAAGCACATAAAGAAAACGGGGCTTGGGGCAACTGGTGGTTTAATATAATAATTTATTATTTAAACCACGAGTACTTCTGGAAGTTGCGGCATGCATGCGGCCAGCCATTGCTACAGTGCTGCGACATCTCCACTTGCATGAATGTAGCTCAGTGAGCCAGTTGTTTGGATGGGTGTTTATCCTGAGGTATTCCTAGAGATGTTTGACAATGATTTTTCAGCCCTCTTTCCAGAAATTGTTCTCAGAAATGCCACTATCTTATTATTACTTATCTATGGAGTGATTTTGAGCAGGGCCCAGCAGACCTGTTCATCCCAGCAGGTCGCAGCGCACTTGCAGCTGTGACTTTTAAAAGGACTGGTGCGTTAATAGGCTTAATAGGCTAATAGTCTAATAGCCTAACATCTCTTTCAGAGTACGAGTTTATCTATAATTGTTAGGCTCTTTTCTAACCCTGCATTTGTTTGATCTGTATGCGGGAAATTTGTTAGGCTATTGATGTTCTGGCATTTGTTTGATCTGTAGCTTGCAGCCTCTGAAGTATCGGCACTCTTCGGGTATGCGGAGCGATGGGCAATCGCGGGCCCTGTGCTTCTGATTCTTCCTGCCTGGTGAGGTTCCATCCATCCCACCACTTTCATTCTTTGTTTTGGTCTATGAGCCCTCCCCCTCTTTTTCTCTTTTTGGAGTTAAAGCGCCAGTTTGTCTGAAGCTAAGTCAGGCTCTTACTGGTTTACGTGATACAGCCATGACCCTTGGGGCCTGGGCAGGTAGTCAACATGGAAGGTCTCTGTGAATTCAAAAAAGTGGTATTAAAATTTCTATCAGTTAATAGCATAGTAATAGCACCTGCTAATACTGGAAGTGACAATAAAAGCAGAAAAGCTGTAATTAGCACAGACCAAACAAATAGAGGTAATTTATGCATGGTCATTCCTGGGCCACGCATGTTAAAAATAGTCGTAATGAAATTGATAGCACCTAATATTGAGGAAACACCCGATAAATGAAGACTAAAAATAGCTAAATCCACAGCTCCTCCAGAATGACTGGTTATACCGCTTAAAGGAGGCTTGGGAGCCTTGGAAAGTAGCTCTGTCAACTTAAGCTGTCGTGAACTGGTGGTTTAAACCGCAAGTACACGGCCCCAGCCTTGCAGAAAGTTTTTGTTGCCACAAACAAAACTCGGAGGGGCCGCGCGGCGTGGGGCCCCGTTGAAAAAAAAATTCGGCGGCGTCCGAAGTGGTGCGGGTTTCGTGCTGACACCCGCGGGCCGATGTGTGGTGTACTGGTGGATTAACCCTCTGATCTGAGTGATCTCTCTCCTTAGCCCCAGTTGACCCATCAAGGGCTCAGATTCTCCCCAGGCATGTCAAGGGCTCAGATCCCCACCAGGTGCATCGAGGACTACGATACTACAGCGACTGTGACGGGCAGCGATGGTGTCTCGATTGGCACTCTGATGGTTCATGGGCATGTGCCACTGTATGGGCCATACAGTGGGACTTTGTCCAGGGGTCCATCCAGTGGGACTATGGACCCCTGGGCCATACCTTAGTACAGTGGTACATTCCCATGAACCAACTGAGTCCCACTCAAGTCCCACTTTATAGCCAAGGGGTTAGACCCTGGGGTTGTGGACCTTTGTACAATGCAAGGCTGTGTACTGACAATGGTATGCAAGCCGTCCGGTTAAACTGGGTTTTGGATCCTCGAATTGCCCGTCCCAGGGGCTCAACACCCCTATTTCTATAGGTGTAGAGGGGTCTTTTCCAGACTAATAGGGGTGTAAAATGGTCAAGGAGGTTGTCCCCATGGAGGCCTGTATCAGCAGACCCACCTACCCACCCACTTGTTTTCTCAAACCATGATTGTGCATAAGCCTGACCCTAATCCGAGATTTTCCACAGAACTGCCATAGCCAAACCTTCGCCCATGTCTGCTTCATCTTGGTCCCCCATAGCCAAATTGCAGGACGACTTTTTTTTTCGCGTGAGTTGCAGGGGGCATGTCTCTGTAGGATCACTTTTGGTTCGTTGTCTTAGCGCCGTGAAGGTGTGGGTTGAGATTGGAGAGTGCTACATGCTTCTCTCTCTCTCTCTCTCTCTCTCTCTCTCTCTCTCTCTCTCTCT